CAGAACCTGGAGCCAAGGCAGGCCGGCGAACAGCCTGAGCACGAAGAGAAGGGCCGTGGAGCACGCCAACCGCAACATCCTAACACACACAAAACACCTCCGTCAACCTGACAGCTTCAACATCATTTCTCAACACTGGGTTATTGCGTTTACATTTTATTTGACCCGTGTGATATACAAAAGACGCCGTTCATTGATAAAAGTTAGAATCTAATCACTATAAACCTGATAATTACAAGGGCTGATATGCTAAACTCTGAGATTAACACAAGATAAGTCTCTTCATCATATCAAGACAAGATTGCTGTTGAAGAACAGATCTTTGACCTTGTGAATGTATGTACCAGTCCAGAGTACTTGTATATCACCTGGGAGAAAAGTCAGTCAGGCGCTGTAAGTTAGGTTTCAAAATGTGTTTGTTTGTTTGTTTTATTTCTAGTATTGAAATATTTAGTTTAATGCTGCTGTTCATCACGTTTTATACATTAAGTGTATGAAGGTTATCGTTAGATACTGTATATTGATTGAGGATAACCTTTATTGACATCTCTGATGTGCACTGTGTAGAATGCAGATGGACACAGATGATCAAACTATGACAAAAATGTTAAATGTTAATTATTAAAATGCTCCTTTACATTAAAACACACTGAATCGTTTCTAGGCCACCTTCTGCACTAAAAGCACCTGTAAAGTAACTAGGGTGGATTGAATGTCAGTGACGCAAAGCAACAGAGCTATTTGATCTGTACTATCCTTTCCGACAGCTCATCTGAACGCAGTAGAAGTATCACATGATCCCGAAGTACACCTATATAGGGGAGACCGGGGCTAGTTGTCACACAGGAAAGTTGTCACAAGGGTTTCATCACAGTAACTATAAGATTTTGAGTCAGAAGAACAATTGCACAAATGTGGGATTTGGTACGTTGGTTTCAAACATCTAGTTAAAAAATATTTAATAATTATCTTAATTTCTGCAAAATTTTTTTTTTTTTTTTTTTAATTAAAAAAATTCTAATATTTCTTGCTACAGCAGTTAGGTAATACACATGGCAAAACACTCTGAAATACATTCTGGTATGAATTTAAACTATATAATTGTTTATGTATATGTAATTTCTACTTTTTGATAACTTTATCTTATCAATTTTTTGGTTTTATTAACTGTTTTTGGTGTGTTATAATATAATTGCTTCATTTTTCAAATTAAGCTGAAAAGCCATTAAATAAGCTTCCCAATGTGACAGCTTACGCCATATAATAAAAACAATCAGTATAACTGTCTGCAATAATAGGCATATATATATATATTAGCCGTCTGTCTATCCTGAGGGATGCTGGGGAGAATCCGCTCGCCCCGCATAGTAACGTCTGTTCAGTCCTTCAGACAAAATGATAGACGTGCTGTGGGTGCGGATGGATATTAAAGCAACGCAGAAGAGCCGTCATCATCACCAGGCGAGGGTTAACGTTACCGCAGAGCCCTGACTCGGTGCTCCAACCCGGAAATCTGAGGAGCACATTGGCTGTCCAGCACTGTAGTGACTCATTTCCGCGAATCGGCTCTTTCGAACAGCTCGTTTCAAAGAACCAGTTCGAAACGATTCAGCTATTCTTTTATGCCATTACGCCACCACGCGGTGCTTAGATCACAAATATGCGTTTACAGTAAACCATACTAAGGTTTTTCTCTCAGTTGAAAATGTTTTGCAATATTTATTCTAAACAACTCTATTTCGAATGTGTGTTGATAAAGCTGTCTTACAACTAAGTGGCAAACATATTTCAAATAAATTTTATCTGCAGTATTTCTGCTGCTATTGAAATGTCTACTGTTTTAGGCTCACTGTGAGTCAAATATGTCCAAAGGGCGACTGTCAGTTCAGTGAGTCGGTCAGTTATTGATTCCAGAACCGCTCGATTCGCCAACGCATCGCTCAGTCCGTTTGATGACTCGGTTGAAAAGATCCGATTCAAAAGAACGAGTCGCACACGAATCGGACATCCCTACAGCACTGCAGTACACTGAGGTTCACTCTACTGTTACAATCACCAGATACATTATAAGGAATTGACGCAGGCAAGCGGCATATTATATCAAATGTTTACACGACCAAGCGTAAACAGCATATCAGGCTCGGTTGCGCTGCGTGTGTTTTATATTGAAAAGCCCAGTGCGGATATCTGGCATCCTATTCCCTTTATCCGGATTTTGATCTATTAAACTATTACATATGATACCACATCCATCAGCCAACATAAGCAAGACACGGTGTATGCTGATACTACTGTAAAAATCGGTAAATGCATCTTTAACTGGCAGCTGCGATCATGACGATTAATGATACAGGAGATTCCGGAAATGGACAGTGGATAAAATATTTGAAGTGTAGGTGTCTGTGTTCCGGGAAATACCTCGATTTCGGTCTCCGTGGTCACAATAACGTGTGTGTTATGGCAGAAGGGGAACCTGTCCCGTACGATCCCACCTTGATCGGCTAAAGCGAAACCTCCACCTGCGCTGATACACACGCGCCGGTGTGTGAACGGACACACGCCTGCCTTTTGCCTACGAACCGCGGCTTCTCCTCGTAGACTTTGCTGCCGTTTATTTCATTTTTTCATTCTTATCTGTTATCGCTTCATTGTAACGATGGCTTGTAGCGCTGGTAATTCCAGTGACCTTATAATTTTCTTACTTCGGCCCGCCTCCTCTCTATTCGCCGGTGCTGTGTGTGTAGTGATTGACAGCTCTTTAAACCAATCGCGTTCTCGGAGCTCTGCCGTTTCGCTCAGGAAAGGCGGGGCTTAAAGTCCTGTCAAGGAAATGTGGCCCAGCCAGCGAATCATCAGGGCAGTTTCCACCCAGTAGTCGCAAAGCAGCTCCGCAGGACCATGAGGCATGATGGAGGAGAACGAGGGCTTTTGTCAGATATCTGCCCATCTGCTGGCCATTGTAAAGGCAAAAGCAGCTGTTTGTGTAAATTAAAATTATATAATGTAGATGGCAATTCAAACGTGTTAAGAGGCAGGCTTTTTTTTTTTTTACTTCAAATTAATGCATTGAAATGATATGGAGACAAGAATGATTTATTTATTTAAAATGAATGAATTCGTCTTCCGGAAGCGTTCAGACACTGCTCATCAAACTTGCTCTTTTCTCTTTGAAAAAATGTCCGGATTATTAAAGATGCAAAATCAATTTGACCATATTTTCCTTTCTTAATATGTGTTCCTGTTTTTTTTTTTTTATTGTGCACAGCCAGTACCAATTACTGTACCTAAAAATAATCCATTCTAATAATATTTAATCTAAATGTAATTACCAGCTCTGCCGCTTAAACAACTTACCTCTTTGGCTGACGTCACAAATGCCTTATTTTTCAATGCCTGGTAAATGAGTTGCTGACAGCATTTTTGTTGACATGCTTTTGCCTAGCAAATTACTTTTCAACGAATCTATTCATGCTCTTTCATACTAATCACAATATTTTCTGGTTCATTCATTTCGTATATCCACTTCACCTCGGATATCATGTTGGATAATATTTTACAACTGCCAGTTAACGAGGCTAATTTGCTATCAATGTAGCAGATGATTTTATCTATGCTATCCAAAAATATTGAGACACAGTTCATAATTCGCTATCATAACTTTCATAAAGTGTGTTTAGTTCAACTTTAACACAGTTGGATCAGTTTTTGTAACACAAAACATTTGAGCAACCACACAAATATTTCATATAATGTACTATATTTTATGTAGTTAGACAATAACAAACTGAAATTGGAAATCAACAGTAACACATAGTTCAATCAATTTGCCATAGGACTTGTTTGAAGGAATAGTTCACCCATGAACAAACACTGTATAACTATTTACACTGTTCCAAACTTTAATGACTGACTTTCTTCAGTGGAACACAAAATAAGATGTTTTGAAGAATGTTCATGCTGCTCTTCGACATACAGTGCGAATGGGCTGTAAAAGTCTAAAGAGTTGTGTTGATATTGTTCAAAGTTTCATCTCAGGTTCCGTCAGTCATACAGGTTTTGAAACAACATGAAGGTTAGGAAATGATGACAGAAATGTAATTTTTGGGTGAACTGTTCCTTTAATTCACCAGATCTGGATGACAAGTTTATGGGCGTAGACACATTTTTCATACACAATCTCTCATGAACAATAACACTTTTTGCACAAACACAATGTGAGGAAAACCGTGTGCAGTGCAGGAGCTGAGATAAACTCTGAGGCAATTCTTCTCAAAATGGTGACAGAAGCCTTTCCATTTCTTTGAAGGTTTATACGTATCATGAAATCAGAGTTAAAGGAATAGTTCACACTAAAATTTGGTTAAAATTTACTCACCCTCAAGCCATCCAAGATGAGTTTGTTTCTTCATCAGATTTGGAGAAATGTAGCATTACATCACTTGCTCACCAGTGGATCCTCTGCAGTGAATGGGTGCCATCAGAAGTGAAAAGCTGCATGTTTGTAAGAAACAAATCCATCATTAAGAACCTTAAACTGTCGCTTCTGGCCAAAATATGATTTCATTATCCATAATAACGCTTCCTCCAGGGAAAAGTCCATTCTCTGTTGTCAAAATCCACCTGCATATTTGTTTAGAACAGTTTTTTTTGCTTGCAAAAGGTGCTTGTTCTGTGCATATTTCTCTCCTGATTCAGACGAGACGACTTTTTCACTGGAGAAAGCAATGCTATGGATTAAGGACTGGTATTTTAGCTGGAAAAAATGCTTTGAAGTTAAAAACATCTTAGTAATGATTTAATTTCTTATAAACACACAGGTTTTCACTTCACAAGATGTTAACTGATGGACTGGATTGGTGTGGATTACTTGTGGATTATTGTGATGTTTTTATCAGCTGTTTGGACTCTCATTCTGACGGCACCCATTCACTGCAGAGGATCCATTGCTGAGCAAGTGATGTAATGCTACAGTTCTCCAAATCTGTTCTGATGAAGAAACAAACTCATCTACATCTTGGATGTCCTGAGGGTTGAGTAAATTTTTAGCTGAACTATTTCTTTTAAGTATGCTAATTGTACTGAAACTTCTAAATTTGTCTCATCTACCACATCAGCATGAAGAAAACAACACTAACTGGCGTATTTGCTACAAAGACATAAAACTAATTCATATTAAGATGCCTTCCAGTTACTCGATCTCCTCTCATGAAGCTCAGTCAGTCGTCCAACTCGAGGCCAAAGTGACTGTACAAGTCTCGTGTGGTCACTCCACGCAAGCCGGCTGCAAGAGACACAGAGAGACAGTTGTCTTGTCAGTGGTCACATGGGGGGCAATGACGTGGCACAGACCCCCTCTGGCCCTCAGACCAGCTGAAGTCACAGTGAGGCCGGAGCGGGCAAGAAACTCAGCATGCTGGGAGTCTGAAAGGGTCCATTATATTACAGAACGCAGCGATAATACCAGAGGATGCCATTATCATAATCCTGACACTAGAGAGAAATGGCAAGCGTATGGACGCTGTAACCCACTTATATGCGTGGGATGGGAGATGTGTGTAGGCCACAAGTGTTTATGGAAAGAATATGAACAGTTTAACATGGTATGAAATGTGAAATATTTTATATTGAAGTTAACAGCCCAACATAAATCATGGTTGCGTTCACTATTAAACACATGATAGTTCCATCAGGTCTTACCTAATCTGCCCAGCAGAGTTTGTGTGATGTCTTTGATGTCATTGTATTCGTGCAGCAGGTCTATGTGTTGATCCAGCTCTTGTACAACAAATCCTCTACAAACACAAGAACAGAGTAACACAAGCTCAGTTTGATCAGACAATAAATCACAACGAAGCACTTTCTTTTTTTAGCTAGTATAACAATGTAATTAACAACAAAGGACCAGATTATTTGAGATGCATTTTAGATATTTGATATTTTTTATCGATTACTTTAAAGGTATAGTTCACCCAAAATGAAATTCTGTCACAAATAATCACTGTTTTACTTAAAATGTGACTTTATTTCAAGTGTTTTTAAAGTGTATGTTAAGTTACTTTAACCCTGTAAAGCCTGATATATGGAATAATATTCACAAAAATCAAATTTTTTGAAATGCAATGGTTTATTGAACATTAAAAATATATATAAAAAGTCAAACTTTTATGGCTCATACAGTATGATATAAGAGAATATGCAGCTCATTCTCAAGGAGGAAAAAAAACATGTCAATTTTATTCAGAGGCACAAACTGAGCAAAAATATGACATTTTTAGTTGCTGATATTTAAATGGACAAAAAGTGAGATGAAATTCTGATAGCTTGTAATGTAAATTAATGAGTTCACTCTATATTTCACAATAATATGTCTTTGTAAGATGATATTTAAATGCTTAGTTTTATGATAAAAGCTCTGTAGTTTCAAAACATATGATGCAATGCAATACAATGATGATTGAGAGACGAACAAATAAACATTCCTTAAAAGCCTGATGATCATATTTGATACTCACTGATTTTTCTAAAAAAAAAAAGATGTTTGGATAATCAAGTAAACCTAAGTTGCTTCAGTACTGTAAGTGTTCATCTTGAAATATTACTAGCAATATAGAAGTTATTCTTTATAAAAAGAATGTTTACTTTATAAAAGTCAGTAAAAAAATCACAACAGAAAGACACATGAAGGCATGCGGTGGACTGCGTACAACAAGTTTCTCAGCCAAATTTTGATCATGTTAATAATATAGAGTTCTGAAAAATTTGCATATCCAGTATAATATTGTAGGCTTATAGTGGGTTAATAGTGCTGCTTTTGTTATTTTGGAGCTTTACAACCCATGTTCATTTTCACTGAATGGAAAAAAGTGACCAGGATATTCTTCTTTGGTGTGCCACCCAAAAAAAAGAAGAAAATAATATATATATATATATATAAAATCATGTAGGTTTGGAGTGACATGAGGGTGAGCAAATTTTAATGTATGGGTAAATTATTCCTTTTAAAATTGCATATGACTGCTAAAACAACTCTAATGGAAGCACTTGACATCTTCCACCTTAAACTGAGAAAAGATTTCTGAACCTAATATTCCATACTATCTTCAGTATGAACATACAACAGCATAGTGCATCTCTTAAGCCCACATTCACTACCTACTCTTTTTCCAGCAAGGCGATCTCTGAATTCAGCCGATCAAGTGTTTTCTTGAGCTCTTTGACTTCTTCCTCAGGGCACACTGGAGATTTCACCATATTAGGCTTCTGAACCTATGACAGACCACAGACAACTCACCACACTCACCGCATGCAGGTATCATGCATATTTTGTAGTTATCAAATTCCCATGAACAGTGCTTTGTAACAGGTCAATGCATCATGTAACAGGCTACTATTCTGGTAAAATCACATAGGATTAATACAATAGTCCTCTGAATACACAGGACTCAATTAAAAGACTTTACGTACTGGAGATTTAAAACCTGAATTGACGCTCCTGGCGTTACATCTGGAATCTGGAGGTCTGTATGGAATGAACAAACGTTGCTATTCATGTTAAAACAGATTTGTATTGAACATTTGCAGAGTTGCTGTATTTGTTTACCTTCTTCTTAAGGACACGCCCCCTTGTCTTGGCGTAACTTTGACGTGCGCATCATCAACAACGGATTTGGCGTTAATTTCTAGATCCGCTGTCGCATTCATTTCTTCCGAAATTCACGTTTTGTGTTCAAACTCGGAAATTATACAATTTTAATGAGCGAACATCTGATTTACGCGAGTTCTGAACGTTTAATGAGACGCGCGTGAGTCTGTAAAAAGTCTCTTGCCGTTTCTGACGAATAAATTCCCGCCTTGTTGCGTCATCATACGTAATCGCTCTGATTGGTTCGCTCAGGTATGAGCTTTTTGATTGGTCCAGTGATGCACTTCCAGTGCACGCCATTAGATACAGTGGAAACGTGTTTTTTTTTTAGTTCCATCACAAACAAGTACAGGGCAAAAAGTAAAATGCAAATATAAGGCAATGTTGTACAGTTTAAAGCATGTAAAACAGAATAACAACAACAAAACATCAAATGAACGTAAACACACACACACACACACACACACACACACACTAGGATAAAACAGTGCTATATAATATTAGGGCAGTTACATAAATTTGAAAAGCTTTAGAATTTTTACAAGCTTCTTATTTTGTGATCTCATATTAGAAAGGGGTTCAAAATATAGCCTATTTTAAGATCAGTGTTGCAAAGGGTAATATATGATGGTTTCTTTTGCATTATTTTGGACGTATGAATATAAAACTTTGCTAAAATAATTAACAGATCAATAATGTAGGCTAATTTTGTTTTTCAGAAAAATATGGGCTTTGAAAACAAAGTAAAATATTATGAGGTTCTAAATTAAGGGCTTTGTTTGTTTATTTATTTGTTTATTATTGTTTTTTTGTTATGTCTATTTTAAAGTCAACCCAAAATGAAATAGAAAAAGGGCAATAGAAAAGTAAATGTTCAATATCTTCAACTGATATGTTACATTTATCACAAACAATATGAATATCTCTGCTAACAGCTGCATTTACAGGATAACCTCTGTGAATAATTTTGTAAAGTACTTCTATTACTTCATTAGAAATAACATATTTATATGGTCATATCCAAATGCTATGCCAAGATATACAATGAGGTTGAAGCCATTTTGATTTACATGGAGGACTGGATCCGACATAAAGAAGTTTCTTATAAAACTGTGGAAACAGATGTTGTTTCTGGGTTTCTGTAAAGAGGAGTCAGAAACAAATTTACACTTAATTTTTTCAGTTGTATTTACACTAAATCATTTTGGTCTCTAATTTGATTCATTGTTTTAGAATGTTTTCACAAAATTATTCAAGCGAATGACAATACGACTAAAATTCTTACTGTTTTGGGAAAAATTTCAAATACATAAAGTAACATTAAACTGTGAACGTTAAAGTTTGAGAAATAACTAAATAATGAAATAACGTGTATGATGTTGCAAATCAAAGCAGTTCCATATGTTGTCATTAGATGGCGGCATTTCACAATGAATGCAAAACTATAGGAATATTAGGTGAAGATAAGTATTAAAAAATTCCCAGTAGATTAAACAACAACAAAAACAGCGTTCATAATGAACATAGATCTAGCAAAACACTGCTTATAGAAGTAAAAGTGGGGTTTATTAATTAGTGTTTGTATACTGATGATGACATGACCTCCTCCTACTCAGACCTGCTCTTTCTAAATCACTGCATGCAATTAAAAAGTCCTTTAATTTGATTAACAAAACTGTATAATGTGAAAGGACAGAATCTTACTCAGTACGTCTGAAGGGAATACAGAAAGTAACCTTTAGACAAGAACTACAAGGAATAAAATAATAGATAAAATCACGTAATCACTATGTAAGGTGTTGCTATGTGGTTGCTAGGTGTTTTGAGTGTCTTCAGAACAGCTTGACACAATTAAAGTTTGAGAAATAACTAAATAATGAAATAACGTGTATGATGTTGCAAATCAAAGCAGTTCCATATGTTGTCATTAGATGGCGGCATTTCACAATGAATGCAAAACTATAGGAATATTAGGTGAAGATAAGTATTAAAAAATTCCCAGTAGAGATTAAACAACAACAAAAACAGCGTTCATAACGAACATAGATCTAGCAAAACACTGCTTACATGTGTATGCAGAAGTAAAAGTGGGGTTTATTAATTAGTGTTTGTATACTGATGATGACATGACCTCCTCCTACTCAGACCTGCTCTTTCTAAATCACTGCATGCAATTAAAAAGTCCTTTAATTTGATTAACAAAACTGTATAATGTGAAAGGACAGAATCTTACTCAGTACGTCTGAAGGGAATACAGAAAGTAACCTTTAGACAAGAACTACAAGGAATAAAATAATAGATAAAATCACGTAATCACTATGTAAGGTGTTGCTATGTGGTTGCTAGGTGTTTTGAGTGTCTTCAGAACAGCTTGACACAATGTAATGCTGTAATACACATCTGAAGTGTGTGTGTAGTGAGATTTAAAACGCTTCTGTGAGAAGACTTGAGTTTCAGAGGGAGGAAGAGGAGGTGGTAATCTACTGTGTGCTCCAGAACTCCCCTGACGTTTAGATGTAGTTATCGGGGAAGCTGTTCAACTTTATCACCTGCACTGCCAGTGTTTCAGAGTTTCTGCTGCACGGGGACACACAGCAAGAGGGGAGTGTTTATCACTCGTGACATAGCTGGAGAAGAAATCATTCAAGTCTTTCAGTTCATAATGATGATATGGACTGGAGACCCATCTGACAGGAAGGAGACACAACTGTTTGGTTCATGGTTAATTCTATTGTTTTGGCTATTGCTGTGAATCCTTATGCTATCACTTCACACTACTGAGGTGAATCTGACAAAGACTTATTGTCTGGGTCAATAAGAAATAAATTTTTTGCCTAATTTCAAGTTAAAACAAGGGTACAAATTAACAGCAATATATGTAAATATATATAATAAAAGAATACATATTATATAATAATAATAATATAAATAAATAATAACATAGTATATATAAAACGATGTATATATATATATATATAATTTTGTTATATAATATAATTAAATATTTTAAATAAATAATATAAAGATAAATAATATAAATATTTTTTTCCCTTTTGAATTTGGTTATAAATGTGGCTTGGCTTGTGGCTTTTTGTAAGATTTGCCCATTGAGCTGCATAAAAGAATTATTTACAAAGTGTTTTCATCTTTATGAATTCATGAATCAAGGAAGATAACTAAACAAAATATGGAGTGTTTTTTAATATAAATTCCCCAACACTAATTTATGATGTGACTTGTATGATGTATGGTTTCTGATGTAACCATATGCAACTAAGCAAAATATTTACCTCCTTTACTGTGTGCTGCAGGCTTACCTTGCTCAGGGCTGTTCGAGACAAACTGAGTCAGCGTTCCCTGGACACATCTATGTAATATCTGTTCAGAAGCCTGTGAGCTTATGGCCATTTCAAGAGCGGTCTATGCTTGAATGAGCAGTGTCAAAGGAAGAAGGCTTTAAATAAATAAATAAAAGGAAAAGGACAAATTAGTCCATTCAGCCGGCACTCCTGAGCCACGTTTATTTATTCTCTCTTTACACAAAGAGCTGGAGGAGAGGGAGTGAGTGAGGATGAAAAATCCTTCTCCCTGCCTCCAGATTTAAATCAACAAGCTCTTCACATCTCACACCAAACAAATAATACATTTTATTTTGCCTCAATAAACTCCCAATTTGCTGCTTATTAATAGGTAGTTGTTAAGTTTAAGTATTGGTTAGGTATGTGGATGCAGAATATGTGCTTTATAACTACTAATAAACAGCTGATATGCTAATAATAGGCATGATAATAAGCAACTAGTTAATAGTGAGAATTGGTCCCTATACTAAAGTGTTGCTGTCATGGTTGACTATAAAAAGACTGGCTGGTTAATGTGGTTAAATGAATTGACCATGCAAAATGAAATTCGGTCAACACTTGCTGAACAGTTTTTGAATGAGTATTCTTTTAATAAGTCTTTAAATGAAACGAATGCATAGAACTGTCTGTTTGGACTTGTTTCCATTGCTACATTGTTTTTGCTGCATTCACTCTTGAGCTGAGGTGGTAGTGTCTGAAATAAAAGCAAGGTAATGCAGAGAAAATTACTTCAGTTCTTTAAAAGGGTCTGTAACAATCTTAGAATGAAATGCTGATCAAACAGCTTCTTGATGATATTCAATATATTGTAGATCTCAATATTTATGTATTGGTTCTGAAATAGTTTTATGCAAGATGTAAAACATAAAACAAGTCACATTGCCATGCTGTTTTCTCTAAACTAACATAATAAAGAATTAATTGTTTTTATTTACCGTACATGTACCAATCTAAAAATACACAAGAAATACCTACAGTTTTCTGTTTCAGAATGAGAGTCCAAACAGCTGATAAAAACCTCACGTTAATCCACAAGTAATCCACATGACTGCTTGATCGTGCTTGATCTGTGCTTATTTCTCTCCTGATTCAGACGAGATTGCTTTTTCATCATCCTTATTCATAAAGGATTCATATTTTAGCCGGAAGCAAAGGTTTGAAGTTAAAACGCCTTGATGATGGATTTGTTTTGTTTTCACTTCACAAGATGTTAACTGATGGACTGGAGTGGTGTGGATTACTTGTGGATTATTGTGATGTTTTTATCAGCTGTTTGGACTCTCATTCTGACGGCACCCATTCACTGCAGAGGATCCACTGGTGAGCAAGTGATGTAATGATAAATTTCTCCAAATCTGCTCTGATGAAGAAACAAACTCATCTACATTGTTTATGGCCTGAGGGTGAGTACATTTTCAGCAGGTTTTCATTTTTGGGTGAACTATTCCTTTAAACTCTAAACTAATGTTTTTAGAAAACTTGACAGCCAAATATAAAACATGTTAACGATGCAATAAGAATAAATGTGCTAAATTAGGTCATCTGTATTCTATTTTATGCCTAAAGCTTGACAAAAGTCACTTTTCCCCATACACCACAGTCATCTTTCACTGTTGAGAAAATGGATTAATTATATTAATGACTCATCCTGCACCACACAGATTTTTGTCCAATCAAATGCTCTCAAATAAGAATGTCCCTCCCCCAATACCATCTGAGTCTGACAAACAATGTTCACAATGTTACTTGCTCAACTGAAAATGCTAGTAACTTAATTTCTCCTGAGCTCCACACATGACATGAATTAATATACCCACAACTTATTAATTTGTGACCATGTTTTATTATTTTATTAATTTGT